GGGGAGGATGATTTGCATCTGGAGTTGTAAAGATTACCCCCACACACACACATACACACACATGCCTCATCATATTATGAAGTGCCAGGAAAAACACTCCTCCCTCCTACCACAATTGTTGTCCTGATGTGGTTGCATGCCACACAATTAACAGATTATGACATCTGACCCAACAATTAGGATTGATATGAAAATGCTTAAATCTATCAAGAAAAAGAAAAGCAAACTGGACTTCCTGAGCCTAGGTCAGGGACAGGGACCCTGGAGCTATTCAGTTGTTTTGGAATTCAGCTCACATCAAACCTAGTTGCAATCCAAAACATCTGGAGAGCAGCAGGCTACCTAGCCCTGCTTTAAATTTACCCGTTGTGTAAGAAGAGAGGATTGGCAGAAAGTTTAAGCAAGATGGGAGAGACATAACTACTGAAATTTATAACTGAACTCATAGCTATAAAATATTCTCTAAAAAAGATGTCTTTTTGAAACATCCTCAATAGCACAAGGATGTTGTATTCTTCTCCTTCAAGTAGAAAGGTGAGTGAAAACAGATTCCAGCACTTAGAAAACATTAAATAAAGGTTAAAATCTGAGGTTAACTATTAACTGTTGCAGCTAAGAAAGAACAGGAAGAGTTGCTATGTGTAGACCAAGGATAAGGAGAAGTAAGTGCTGCCAGACTCAGTTATCAGGCCCTGAAATCTCCGCACTAAATCTAGTGGACAAATTAAGACAGGTTCTTTCATGTCCCTATAGACATGCTTTTCTAAGATTCCTTCTTCTCCTTCACCTAGCACTATTCACTTACCTTTCATAAAGCATTCCACTAATGGGAGGCAGCCAGTGTATGGTGAGTGTATCCTGGCTCTGACCAACGACCACAGGTGGCACAGGGACAGGAGTGGGTTTTCTGCTCTGAGTCCACTGCTGGTATACCAGATCCAGATAGCAATGCATTCGTGCCACTTGGTTTGGAGTAAAACTGTCCGTGCAATTGTCATCTGTGGGAGTAAGAAAGGCAGCTTACCAAACAACCTGAAAACCAACACTGGATTCAGATGAGGAGTTAGGAAATCCATCAGTAAATTCCTTTCATGGCCAGAGTAGACATCTTACTTTGAAAACTTGCAATAATATTAGATCCTATAATCTCCCTTAAGATTCTTGACCTAATACTATCATATTTTATTGCTATTTAGATCTTTTTCTAAACTAGATCAAAGTCATGTTATTGTGATTATATCCATTGCCTCTTGACCTTGGCACATTTTTTCTCTCTTTCATCTGTCTGAATATCCATCCTCTGAGCTCTTTATAGGTCATCTGCTTCTTAGGCGTTTTCATCATGCCAAAAATTCTCCTGCACATTTTTTCTAGAGTATTAACATTCTCCCTAACATAAAATTCTGTCTGCTCATGTTATTCCATCCATCTGCCAAAAGATGGCACTCCGTCTGTAATATTTAATCACATATCCTCTTGTAAGTGATCAACAGTGTTGTCTTCCTTGATATTGGATGCTACAGACAGAAGAGAGGCATACAGAGTAAGAAAGCTAAAAGCATAAATAATGCATATATTTTCAGAAATAATGAATGAGTGGTCTCAAAGTTCTAAGCAAAGAAAATACAGTACTCAAACACTGTCAACTGACCCCAGCGTGAAAACCAACAGGCTGCTTTGCCATTCCAAGATACCACCAAACTGAAGGATGTGGAAGAGGGGTAATTATGTATAATGTAATGTGTTTGAATGCCCAAGCACAAAAAAACTGAAATACAGAATACTGACACTGGTTTCATTAAAATACAGTCCATATGGTAAAAATAATACACATAGTGATAATGTTCTAGCTTCTTTCGGAACTCAGTCTTCATGTTAATGCCATGAAAATTTTCACCAATGTTAAGATGTCACCAATTTTGCCTTTTCCTGGTTTTCTAATACAGAAGAGGCAGTCAAAGTTCAGAACCAGTGCCTCATCAAGGAAATTTGTTGGATGAAGTTGATAATCTGAGATTTGACAAGAGAAAGGTTCTGTTTGGCAGAAAGGTTCTCTAATAGAAGAGAATATGTGTAGCTCAGGGTTGAACTGTGGAGTCCTTGGGGTTCTCTGAGCTTTGCAAGAAAACAACCAAGCTCAGAGAACCCCAAGGACTCCAGAGGTTCATCTGAATTCATACTTCTTACCAAAGTACCTGGCCTGAAACATGAATGCCATTTTTAACTGGCTGCATTACTATGCCTTTAATAATAATCCAATATACCAAGATAGAACAGGTAAGTGCTTGGATTGGTTTCTACTAACATGCTTAGTTGCAGCTGGAAGCACAGAAATAGAGCAATTAAAATGGACAGCAAATTTAGATAAAATGAGTGACTCTCTGGAGGCTGAACCTCATTCTTCTTGTACGTGCTACAGACACTTCTGTCATTCCTTATAAGGATTTTTTTTTAAAATTAGGAGGACATTCCTGTTATTGAAGAGCATGGAATTGAATTCCAGGTGGCAGAATAGACTACTTTGCAACCTTATATTCCTGATATCCTTCTAGTACTTTGAAACCTCAGCTGGCTATGCTTGCACGAGTTAAAAATCTATCTTGACAGCTGAAAATATGCTACATTTCTGCACTGGAAATGAAATTCCTATAATGCATATTACACATGTAGGATTCTAGGCCCCACTGGAACTGAGAAAATATTTCAAATGGGCAAATGTCCCAACAGAACATATAGGATTGTGCAGAGTAGCTTTACCACACAGGTGGACAAACACTTCGCTGTTGTACACCAGTACATCCCCCATTAATTGTTTCCTTTAACACATTACTATCCTTTTAGCTTGCTCGCTAAGTATGAAATTAGATTTGATATGAGGCTGGAATTTTAAGTTATGGCCACTGATATGACAAAGATACTGATGGTTCCCTAAAACACTAACATTCCCTAAGCAGGAAAGTGAGGTATCTGAAGGGATCATTCTCACATGAAAATTCACTGGCTTTGAAACACATATCATCTTCCATTTCCCCCAGCAAACAGAGACACAATTGCAGAATTCCATAATTCAAAAGGCAAATACTACCTTTAAAGACCTAAAGGAGCAAAGAATTCATATCAGAGGTACTGCCTTACACATACAATTCAAATATACATGTACTTGTTTTGGCAGGTTTTAAACTTATACTTTGTCCTCCAATCAAAGCCTTAGCTCAGAGTTCATTCTGCTGCCTGACTCTTGGCAGATCCAGATCAGCCAATTTTACTGTAAACCATTACTTCCAGTATTAATAGGATACTGAGAAGCTTACTGAAAATTTAACTGCATTGGATCTGCAGATAATTTGCATCTTTGCTTGCATACAGGCTAATTTAAATGCACATTAGCAGTGGTGGGTAAATTCTACTTTTCCAGCTGAGTCTTTCTGCCAGGTAGAGCATAACAAAATCCCTGGTGCTAATAATCCCCAAATCAGGGGAGTAAAACTTTGGGGGTCTGTGTATATATGTGGGATTTTGAGAAGTTGTCATAGATGGTCACCATGAAAAAATGGCCAAACCAGGAGATATGCTCTATCATACCTTCTAGCTGAATGGATGCTTTGTACTGACCCAGCCCACCTTTTTCTTCTGGGAAGGGGGCACAGAAACATGAACTGCCTTTTTATTTCTTAAGAATGCCAGTGGGATTCTATGTGGGACCCCAAGACTTTTCTCTAAAAAGTTGCCACTTTATTTTCCAACCTAAATTCATTAGAACTAAAAATGAAGATACCCAAACTTTTTAAACATACAGCTCATACGTCACCTATCCCCAATACTTCTTAGTAAAATCAGGGCAACTAGGATTTTGCTACTGGGATGTTTTATGGCTCTCACATCTCTGGATTGTACACGCCAGTTGATACCCATCTCTGAATCAGACAAAGGAACAGTGTTTTCTTCCCTTACCTGTATAGCTCATATAATTGTTGAAGGGAGTTCCAGAGAAAGGAGTATGGCCACAGGTGTCATTGATTGGATCTGGGTCCCGACAGACTTTGCTTTTGAGTGTAGGTGCAGTGTCAGCACAGAGATCTCCAGTTTCCATGGATGGTGTTGTCTCCCTGCAGGGATCATCACAGGAGTCTCTTTCATCCACACCCTTAAAGACATGATAGAGTCCCAAGACGTGTCCTATTTCATGGATCATAGTATTTGTATGGCCTGGCATCCCATAGTAAGCTGGATTGAGAACTACTCCACCTGAAATTGGAAGTGCACTGAATGTCATTCATAGAGAAGAATATGGGTAAACCGTCTGGAATTCTGAGATAAATGAATATAAAGGTGTGCCCAAACACCATGGGAAGTAGGTTCTACTTTTGGGAAGGGGCTCTTTATGGCCCACATGTCCATGCATAAGCACTCTAAGCAGATAAACAAGTGGGAAAGCTGCTTGAAGTAAGTAGTTGGGTTCTTTGGAACCTTTCCAGACAAGGAGATGACAGTTGCTCCTCGCAATAAGACCATAGGATAGCAATCTCCAGTGAGTCGGAGTGCTGGGAGACAAAGGGATTAACCATCAAGTTCACAATCACAGCAGCACCTTCTAAAGGACACCAAGTTCGCTTTAACCTCACTTCTAATCACTTTTAGAAATTGCTTATTTAAATATCTTAAGACTATTAGAGGCCTTCGGAATGACAAGTCTGAAAAGTCACCTGGTGAGTGCATCTTTACTGTATTCCCGAACAAAAGAAAAATTAACTATAAGTTTAAGAACTTAAGGAATTTGAAATAAACAGCAAAAAGCTAAACAAGATTTTGAAGAAAGTTATAAACATATTAAGGGTCCAGACAAATTTCAAACACTGAAACTTTTACTATAGGATTTTGGAATTAACTATATAAAATAAACAGCTTTTTGTGAGAACCAGAATTATTTTGACTACCACAAGTCATAACAGAGTTAAGAGATCTTATCATTTAAATTGGAGGGGACTAAAGTCCAGGCAAAAAAAAAAAAACCCACTTTCCTTTAGGTTTGGGATTTACAAAATGACACAAAATACTACCACATTTGAAATATTAAAGGAGATTTTCGAAGAATGGGGCCAGAAATTAGTAGCCACAATATCTACAATATCAGTAATGATATCTGCTTCTATGTGTCTAAAATATGTTAGGGAAGGAATGACAGATATGAAACAAATTTTGCTTAATGCAGAAATAGTGGAATCAGAAATATTGGATAAAGAAATGTGTGAATTACAAAACAGACAAGGCATTCAAACTGGAAATACAAATGACAGGAAAAAGTCTGGATTACAAGATAGAGAACAGCCAAGAGAATGATCCTGATAAGGTCTTTTTACTAGATACAGAAAAGAAGCTGGCTGAGGCTAAGGAGAGGCCCAAAAGACAAACCAAGACAATGACCTGGATAATGGCTTTCCACTGGATTTGTGGAAAAGTGGTCTGCAAAAACCTCAAAGAAGCCTCTGCGATGGGAAAAAGAAAGACAACATCTGAATGAATTAAAGATCAAGATTGTTAGAAGTAAAAGAAATGAATATAATGTTGGTTTGTTTGATCAAGGTTAAAATAAGACATGTTTTTATAAAACTCTGGTAACCCTTTACAGACTTTTTGCTGGCACTAGGACTGAAAAATTGATGATATATGGATTTGCATAAAGATATGGGAAGAGTTATCGGAAGAAGAGATATTTGTTTGCAACTTTATAGTGGGTGATCAATTATCAAATTTGTTTTTACTTGTGATGAAGACTT